ATGTCCAAGTTTCTCTTCCCAATTATTTCTGACCTATGAGAAAATGAAAATGTTCTCATCGTAATTAGAATTTAATTACTCTTAATCTTTTCATAGGAATATGTGTTTCTGGGGCTGGAAAGATAACTCCATGGTTAAAAGCACTTGCTGCTCTTATAGGGGAGCTGGGGTTGGTTCCAAGCATCCAAATAAAAGCTCACAACTGTTTGTAACTTCAGTTTTAGGGGCTCCAATGACCTTTGCAGACACCAGGCACAAACATGGTACACATATGTACTGGGTGTCAAACACTTATACACATAAAAATAAATCTTTTGAAAAAAGATATAAGAAGATGTGTTCTTATTCTATGAGAATTTCATACTTAACTAAGATTAAACCTAGGGCTCAATGGTAGCACGTCTGGTACATACTGGGTTTTATCTCCAGCACCAGAATTAGAGAGAAGAAACATATTTATTTGGAGTAGAGTGGCCAGATTCATTAAAAAAAAACACACAGAATGCTGATTTAAGTCTCACATAAATGATGAATAATATTTTGGCACAAGTATATTTTGAACTTTGCACATGATATACTCACAGAATAGCCTTATCTATTATTTATCATAAATGTAATCATACATTTTGTGTCTCACTTGTCATCTTAAATCTGGTGTTTTAGCCCTTTGCACCTATAAGCCAATTATCCAAGATTAAGGTCATATTAAAGATCACTCATCAGATGTTTTTAGCAAGTAGCCTGTTTGCTTATAGACAATTAGTTTTAGTTGGCTTTAGTGTCTTTCTTGGGGGTGGAGCATGGCACGGGCAGCTTGGTTATCCAAATCTCTTTGAAATAAGACCTGGTAAATATTTTTTAAAACTGGACTCTTGGATAATGACACTTTTATTTTACTTGAATGGCTCTGCAGTTTCACTGAAGATCCTGGTTTTAGAACCATACAGAAGACACATCAGTCTTCAAAAATAACAAATTGTCCTGAAAAAAATAAAACAACGCAAAAATAGCTTTTCATACAAATCTGGTTGATAAGTCTTAACACTGAAATCAGTCTTAGTATAGGGAAACACACAGACTGGAAGAAGCCATGCATCCTTAAAGAGTTATATCTAAAATAAAAGAAACGAGCCTCCCTTTTTTGCCCAATAAGGATAAAAGGCAAAGATACATAAAGGAGGAAGCCATGAGGAATGCTTCCCAAATATTTACCCAAGACCTAACAGTGTCACATTCTCCATTGACCTGACTCACCTTAATCAAGCCCCCTGCCCCACTTTGTAATCTAAACCTTCCAAACAGGGGAACTCATCATCCTTCTACTCTCTCTCTCTCTCCCAGGACCATTTTCGACTGATATGCTTCTCCCTCTCTCCCTCCTCCTCCCCCTCCCCCTCTCTCTTTCACACACCATTCTAATTTTATGCCCATACTTGTGTTTAATAAACATTTATTAAAATAATGGGAAAGGTGAACAGTTACTCAAAAAGCATGGTAGCTTTGACTAACTTTACATAATAAGAAATTTTTTGTTGGAATTCCAAGTTACAAAAACCGCCCATGGAGAATTGGCCTTGGCAATCAGAATCACTGAGGTCTGTCTGAATCACAGCCATGGTCCTCACCCTTCAGTGACCTTGGTCTGGTTGCTAAGTTCTCTGGGCTTCATTTAGCATTTAGTCGTCCCATATTACTGCTGTCATGTTTGAAGTCAGCAAACACATTAAAAAATTTTTTACATGCTGCAACACACATTACATGGAACTTAGGAAAACTTGGTGTTTACATAGTAAAACAGCAAAATATAAGTCATCTGAACTGGGTTGCTGTGGTCTGAGCAGCAGATTATTTAATAGTGAGGCAGAATCAGAGAAGTCACTTAACATCTCTGTAGTCTCAATTCCTCATGTAAATTATTTGACAATAATAGTACCTATCTCATTAGAGTTGTGGGGAGGGTCAGGTTGATCAATTCATGCAAGAATCTTCATATAACTCATCAGGTAAGACTCTACAGTATCTGGCATGAGAAGCATCTTAGAAATATTACCTAGAACTTTTCTCTTGGTTGTCAATATTATTCTATGAGATAACATTTCAGATAAAGTTTAGAGGCAATGGTAATAGCTAGACAAAAGTATTAAGAGAAGAATTTTTAAAGAGACAGCAAGAATAAAAGCAGGGGGAAAGAGAAGAAGAAAATATGTCCAGAGATCAGAAAATACACCGTAATTAGACAATAATGACATAGGTAAAAGTGCTATAACTGGCAGACAAAGGCTTGGCTAAAGAATGGCTTGATGGAAGTTCCAGATGCCAGTTAAACGTCACTACCCAACAGGGAGGCTATCAAAGTCTTCGAGCATAGCAAGAATACTATAATCATGGTGTATTGACTTAACCAAACAACACTGGGTTAGAATAGGTAATAGCAGAGGCAGAGAACTTGGTGTCCTGAGAACTTGTGCATGAGTAATCCAAACAAGAACAAAAAGGGAGGCTGAGGTCCTGAGGTTGCAGAACCAGGACCCATAGGACCTGGTTATGGCAGAAAGAACCCAGGGAGGAAGCTGGGGAATAAACAGCTTGAGAAATAGCAGATACATATTAGTTGTGAGTGATGGACCACAGGGAGTTGAGAACAGTTTATTTTTAGCGTTGGAGAAGCTTGAGTCTAGACAGAGCAAGGCCTAGAAGCTTGCTGTGAATAGAGAAATTATAATGAAAATGGAGACTGGACTGCCAAAAATGGTCAAAAGAAAGAGACCCAAGATGTAGGTGGCAACTACTGACTCAGAGGGCAGCCATAGCCTGAAGCTATCTCATGAAAAAAGAACACCCAACAATAAGAAAAAGGGAGAGGAGACAGAACGGGACAGTAAGGTTGATGTGCTCAACATCGCCACTACGGCCCTGAGCTGACGCTTAGGGCTGAGCTTGGAGCAAGTCCTCTCTGCCCTCAGAGAACCTAGTGCAAACCTTATTTGAGGTCTTATTAGAGATTGGTGAAACTGTCTATCAATCATGTGCACTATTCTGATGGAAAAAAAAAGTAGTATACACGTGCTCGATAAGTGTTAAAAGAATGAATGAAAAAGTTAATGCCAATAAAACCGCAGTCCTATCGTGGTTTTATGTGGGTGACGTTGTGTTTTATGAGGCCTTTTCCTACAGCTCCAATTAGGTACTTGCTCACAAGTTTGTGTTTTGTCCTACATCGAGTAGCAGGTCAAGTTACTCCACTGGCTTCTTTTGCTACCATTGAGTCAGCTTAATGGAAACTATAAGTGCTTTACAAGATGTGTTCTCATTGGTTCTATAGTATACCTGACCCCACCTCTCCTCATGCTACTTTCCAGAGACCATCCAGAGTAAAAGTTGGAAGGAAGTAGAAAATACCACTCATGCTGAAACTGGTTATAAAAGAAACTGGTCTTGAGAGATCATTGTAGCATTGTGGTTTTTAAGAAGGCTGCTGAGATTTTCTTGCCTGTGAAATACATTTGCACAGCATTCAGACTGGGGGGGGGACGTCATTCTTTATCAAGTCATTCATATGATTTCTTATTTTTATTATTTTCTTATTTTCTTCAGATTTATTTTATATATGTGAGTACACTGTCACTGTCTTGAGACACACCAGAAGAGGGCATTGAATCCCATTACAGATGGTTGTGAGCCACCATGTGTTTGCTGGGAATTGAACTCAAGACCTTTGCAAGAGCAGTCACAGTGCTCTTAACCACTAAGCCATCTCTCCAACCCATTCACATGAATTCTTAAACTTAACCAAGTATTTTTGGAAGCATTGTAAAATCTGAAGCCCATCTACCATTCTTCCTTTTTCTCTGTGCCTACATGTACACTAAGATGCTGGGGACATTTTCCATTCTCCTAGTATGGTTTACTTGCTATGATCTTTTTTTCCCTGTTCTCCAACCTGGCAGTTACTCTCCATGAAACCTACAGATAATTTAACCAAGGTTGTTCCTGTGACATTTAAAGCTTCGTTCTGCTTCACACCAAGAGTCTGTTTGAATTGGCATGGACAGGGGCCTGGCAAGCATAGATATGAGCAAGCTGGCTGCAGAAAGCCAATCTGCACTCATTCCTCACCGGCCTCACGTTCAGTGACATCATGTTTGTAACTTGAAATCAGCAATGCTAGAAGTGTGTGCTCTATGCAAATACCCAAAGTGAAAAAAAAAAGTAGATCTTTTAATCTGCCCAGAGTTCCAGTTCACCAGCAAACTACTCATTGTGAGACCTACTACAAAGAAAGGATCATAGTGGATGAACTAATTTTTCTAATGTCTCACAGGGCCTCAGTTTACATGTTAGCAAGCTCACTGCCTGGTGGCATTAGAAAGCCACTGTCTGTGTTCTAGAAATCTTCCTGTAAACTATTCTAAATGACTCTCATTCTTAATTTTAAAAGTTTAGCAGTTTCCGTTTATAAGATTAATTCTAGTAGCTGATGAAGTAAAATCAATTAAAGAAATAATTTAATACAACTCTTTCAGAGGATTTTTTTTTTAACAAAACAGTAACTAAGATTAAAGAAACCCAGCCTCTTGTATCCACCAGACCATATATGGCAACATGAGGATTACAATATATCTTCCATCTCATCTCACAGCCTGAATTTCTAAATAGGATAGCCAGGTGGGTTGTTTAAAAGAAGAAAGTTTCCATGATGACATCTCAGCTATGATCTTGAAGGGAGGAAGTTCTATGCCACTAAAAAAATTATTTTCAAAGGAAAATGTCAAAGCAGAACCAGGGTGAAATAATTAAATAGCATATGTATCTCCCTGCCTCGCCATGTGAACATAGCAAATGTTTGTACCAAAATCATCTCTTAGGGAAAGAAAGTTCCGTTCTTACAGGATGCTGAATACTGACCACCTTTTAGAGTTGCTACTATAGTTACGGACTCGTAACACTGCAGTATTACACGATGCTTTAAATAGGATAAAGAGAAGTTATAAACACTATACCCATGCAAGAAGCAACAGATTTCTTTTCACTGTTCCACAGTATCCCAGCATTCCCACGATGATGAGGAAACAGCAGACAGCAATCATGACAGGGTGAACCACAGGGAAGTAAGTTAAGATGACCGCCTCTTCTACCCTAAGAGAGGAAGATCATATCAGAAGATAAATAAAACGTTATCGAAATGATCAAACTGCTCTCCAGGCCCCAGACACTGAACAAATGCTACTGTGAGCTCCGGCTCTCCAAATTGGCATCCTTCAAAAGCTGGTGGCTCATATGGTTATTTTCAGACTCACTATGCTTTATGACATGCTTTGCATGCTTTATGTTTGTTTCAGTTTCGTGGCATTTTTATATAAGTGGCAGCATTTCTATATCTAGGCTCCAAAGCACCAGCCTAAGTGAATTCCATGAGGTACCAACTGGGAGGAATTACCTTCTTCTCTGAGCTTGTAGTTTGTACAGCACTTTTCTTCTCCCCGCTAACTAATCATTTTCTAATGTGAAGAAAATAAGAATGCATCGGGGATTTGAGGCATAATCACAGGAAAGGTAAAGAGAGGACTTTTTGCTAAGATAGACGTAGAATCACTAACCAGGGCGTGGCATAGTGGTGATCAGGAAACTTAGCCATTACTCAATGCTTATACACTTTGCGGTATTAAGGGCTTTACAAAAACATTTCTTCTCACTTGATCCTTGTCATGATTCAGAGTGGTATATATTGCATTGGAGATGACGACAAGCCAGACAACTGGTGTGTTACTAAGCCCACAAATGTCCATGTACAAGTACTGCTACCTACTGTCCTGTAGGACTGGTGGAATTGCTTAATGAGAAGGGGGGGTTGTAAATATAGAGAGTAAGTTGCTATAGTGCAGGAAAAGTGTTCTACAGGATGGTGGAAGAGAACCACTCAATGAACAGCTCAGAGAAAAAATCGTTAAACACGTGAATCTAGAGAGACCAATTGAAAGAACTCAATAGGCAATATTAAGGCTTACCTTGTTTCTGCAGTCAAAGTCAAAACATTATTCAAGTAGTCCCTCATCCAAGCAGAAACGGCCAAGACACTGATGGACATTAACTAAAGAGAAGAAATAAACAAATTTGTTAGCAGAGATGTATGCAGCATTCATTTCAAGGTTAACAGCCTTAAACGGATGATTTGTTATATAATGTTCATGTTTTTCCTAATTAACATATTGGATTTCTATTGAATTTTACTGGTACCATAAACATCTAGCTACTCTATTTAGTAATTATACATACCTACTAAATGGAGTATCTGTAAACGGGATAAAAACAAGTGACCTCTTAAGTTAGTGACTTCAAGTGTAGTCTGGAAATTGCCAAAACCAATTCAATTTGCAAATGTATATGATGCACCTAAAACTATCATCTGTAAAAGCAGCAAGGCAATTAAATGTGGCTACTGAACAATTACATATTATCAAAAGGATCACAGGAGCTACCAAAAAATCTTCTACTGACTAAAATTCAAACAAAGCGAACATGAGAATAATAGTAATAGCAATGAATATAACGCTTTGAAAAATCAATAAGTTCCAAAACCAGTGATGGTCATTATTGCAAGATAGACTCTCGGATCATTATTGAGAAATTGATACGAATCTCTTATTTATTTTATTCTATTTTTCCTATATGAAGTAAAGGCAGAACCAAAGACCAAGTGAGATTTTTTTAATAGTGGAATTCCTAGGTCAGGCGTGCAGCCGTTATATAATGCAGGAACACCATTTAACATCTCCTGAAACATTGAAGCTATAAAGGAAATTCCTCAGTGCCAGACAAAATTAGCAGATCACAGGTTCTCAATCTTGTCTGTAACCTGGCTTCACCTAGGACTCAAACGTAGCCTGAGCCCCCAAGAAAACAGCTCCGGGAGTAGCAACAAAGTATCATAGGTGTCAATCCTACCGATGATCACAATCCATTGGCAGGGCTGAGTACCACTGCAGTAGCAAGGGGCTGACAGAGGTGTGTAAAATGGAGAGATGAGACTGCAGATACCAAACCCAACTATCCATCCAGTTCAATAATGGAAGCAATCAGACACTGTAGGTCTCATGGTTTGAGCAATCCCAGAAATATATATATAAAGTGTTTTTCCAAAGAAGTCAAACTTGAACCCGATTAAACGTCCAACTGTACCAGTTTATGGGAATGAAATGCAAGGTATAGCTTTATCTGTCACTTCTAGGATACACTAAATAAAATCAAGAGCATGAGATTATTTCACAAGACTAATAAGCTTGTTTCTTCGATTTAAAAAAAAAGAGTAGTGGATACTGAAATAATTTTTTTTAAAAGAAAGGAAACACCGTTAAAGATTAAAAGGAATTCAAGAGGTTGTCCAACATAATATAATGACCTTCTTTGAACCCTGATTCAAACAAATCGATTACAAAAAAAATATTTGCAGATAAGCCGAGAAATTTTAACATCGATGAGATGTTGTAAAACAGTAAGAACTCGACTATTATTTTAGGCCCAAATACAAACTCAATTTATTCTTAAAGGTCTCATACCTTTAGACACCTGTGGTGAATAGTGGACGAACTTGAACGGCAGCTGCAAGGCAGTGATAAATCACCATGCCCTGAGCTGAGAGTGGAGCTGGGTATGCTGGCGACTATTGGCTCTGAGCAATGAGGAAACGAAGGGTTAATCACAGCCCTTTCAAGCTGAAATATGTTTTAAAATTCTCATAACTCAAAAGTGTAAGGAAAAAAGCTAAACACCTAAAACATGTTGATAATGATTCTGCCTGGGAACCTTTTCTAAGATATAAAAAAATAAAAATTCCTCTCACCCCTCCATCTTATCCTTGTGTTTCTTAGTTCGTTTTCAACCCTGAGTCTTCATCGTGTATAACTCATTTATAATGGTTGTCATTAGACACAGTTCTTCCCCTTATAGCAAAAAAAAAAAAAAGTTAGTTCCTGAATTCTAAAAACTTTCCTATTTTACCTGAAATCTTTTCAAAAACGTGTCTTTGTTTTCTTAAGCATAGTGTAAGTCTCAAGGGATCGGACCTAACCTGACTTTTAACACTTCTGGCAGTTTGATGAACATCAGTAACTTTGGCTTTAATGCTGGCAGGGTGGTTATCTAAGCTGGGCCTTAGTCTGAGCTGATGCAGACACTGACTGTAAACCAAGCTCCCTAGATAAAGCCTCCAAGGAGAGCTCATGTGCTCCCATCCAAGAAGGTCACTCTGCTGGGAGGCTGGGAAGTGAATTCCCCACCCCATCACTTGTTTACAAAGGTGTCCCGTAGGTTTCTTTCCCATCTCCATGGCTATCTGTTGGTATTTACCTTCTAAATGACACAGGGATAAAGTAGATCATTATTTTAAAATATTGAAGTAAAAATCTTTTATTGTTCTACTTAGCAATAAACGATCTTGCGATCTCCACACGAGTTTCCTTCTTTTTTCTTTTTAATCATTCTAAGCACTTCCTACCATGCATTTTGACCATATCCACCCCTTCCTCTCACCCCTTCAACTTATCCTTGTGTTTCTTACCCCATTTTCAACTCTGAGTCTTCATTGTGTGTAACTGAATCATAGTGGTTGTCACTAGACACAGTTCTTCTCGTTCTAGCAAAAAAGGAAAGAAAGAAAGAAAGAAAGAAAGGAGGGAGGAAAGAAAGAAAGAAAGAAAGAAAGAAAGAAAAGAAAAAAGAAAAGAAAAAAGAAAAAATTCATTTTTTTTCTTTTGGTTTGGTTTTTTAAGACAGGGTTTCTCTGTGTAGCTCTGGCTGTCCTGGAACTCACTCTATAGACCCTCGAACTCTTGAACTCAGAAATCCACCTGCCTGTGCCTCCCAAGTACTGGGCTTAAAGGCGTGTGCCACCACCGCCTGGCCATTTCTTTTGAACTGTATGTTTCAAGACATTTATTAATCAGCAGGATGAATGAAGCCTTGTGCTTTGAAGTCATTCTTCCTTTTTAAGTGTATACATTGATTGTGGCCTGTACCACACTATGTACCAGAGACACTAACGAGAAGGGACTGACACTATCTGAACATGATGCAGTTTTTAAAGGAAGAGGACATACATTGCCATCATCAGAAGTGTGAATGTGTAACTGCAGACTGTACTGAGTACAGAAAAGAAATAGTCCACGATGCTTTTAACAACTCCTTTCAGACTGTCTGAACTCATCCACAGGGTCAAAGGGACTTCTCTACAGCAGCAGAGATCTGAAGAGCAAAGTCAAGTTAATTAGGAAGGGAAAGGATAAAAAGGATTTTCCAATCAAAAGGAAAAGTGAAGGTTCCAGAGTAGAAGGCAGCATGACATGCTCAGGAGAGGGAAGTTGCCTCTGGGAATGCACAAGCAGGCAAGGAAGCTTGTCTTCAAAGCTACCTGAAGGTGTATGTCTTTGACCACATGGAAACAATGGGAAGCCACTGAACTCTGAACTCCAAACTAGGAACCTCAGTTCTGTGTCTTTTCAGCCTATAACTTTTAGTATGACATTTGGTTTTTCCTTAATCCCATTTTTTTCCACCTTTAAACCATCACTAAAAAAATTCTACTGTCTAGAAGATTCTTATGATGAAGCCGACCCAAATGTATTACCTGTTATGACCATGTGTCATGTTTAACCTAAGAGTTTCTCTTAATGCTTCTCAGTGTAAACTGTTCCTAAAACAGTTCAGAAATGGGATTATCTGATATGGGATGGACTACCAAGTGAACACTGCACAGAGCTACCGGCCGGCCATTCTCAATCTTAGCATGTCTAAAACAGATGCCAGCTCCACTTTTTTCCAAGCCTTTTGTCCCCCCTCACAGTGTTTACAATCCTAGTGAATGGAGTAATGAACCCTTCAATCACATGGACTGGCAGCTTGGCAGACAGCCCGAACCTCTCCCTTTTTTATACTGGACATTTAATTAGTTTTGAATCCTTTGCACGATTCCTGAGAGAGGCGTCTGGCAAATCCTTCCCCATTTCCTGCTGCTTCGGGCTAGTTCAAGCCCCCATCCTCTCTTGTCAGGATGTAGCAATCATCTTTATAAGACATCTTTCCAGCTCATAGACTCCACCTCCACAGTGCAGAATCAAGCATGCTTCAGCATGTAGCTGTCCTTATGCTATTTTCCAACCTCCATTTCCTTTTCCCTCATCTCCCTTCTAGAGAACAAAATGTAATAGCCATGGGAGGTCACACAAGGCCTTCTTACTCATTCTTTAATCTACCCTCCAACCCTGTTTGCTGCCAGCTCCTTCCTGTAGTTGAACAATGATGGAAGTCCTTGCAAAGGGCACCATTCACAACTCCCAAGCTCCCATGTCTGCTTCTGCCATTGCCTCTGCTGAAACACCACCCTTCCCAGGCCTTCCAGTCCTCAGGAGCAAAGTAACCTCTACTTCTCCTTGGACAACAGCCCAAACATCAGTTAGAGTGGAAAGATTGTCTCCTTACCCGCAGCACTTGTGAATGTTCTCTGCACAGCCCTCCAGGAGCTTCCATCTCATTTCCTGTTTGATTCTACCCATTAAAAGAATACTCACTCCACTCGGTAGTAGGGCCTAAGACCAGTTAGGTGAATAGGTAGAAAAAGAAGGGAACTGAATGGGAATGTTTTCTACTCTCCATGCAAACTGAGATCTTTAGCAAAATCAGATGCTTTAACAGGAACTAAACTTCACCTTGCCGAAATGTTCTGTAGGGGGATGCTGGCTTCACTTTGCTGGAAATGTTCTGTAGAAGGATGCTGGCCACATGACAATGTAATGATATACAATGCAGGCTAGAAACTAATATAGGGAAGCTTTAAACTATAAACTTTGCATTCTACACCATCTCACTGTTTTCTCTTAAGAGGTGTCTACCAAACGTGGCAGCTGTACCTGGAGCACTGATCGAAATAAGTATCAGCGCAAAGCCTTCTACCATGGTAAGCAAGCACCTTTGGGAAAAATGGCTTAAATGCTTGGAAACAATCTCATCCTTGAAGAGCAACTTTACACTGAGGCTGAGATGCTGGAAACAAGAGGCACAAACAGAACCATGCTACACTGAGGGACTAAACTAAAGTGAGACTGAATCAGCCCAATAACTCTTCCTGATACTATGTAACCTAGGAGCATAGCTTACAGGAAAAAAGTCATGCTCCGAAATAAATCATGGCATTTTCCGTGAATTATCCAAATTAGTTTTTAGTTTGTTTTAACCTTGTATTTCCCATTTTTGACCAAGATATACATATTTATGGGATAGTCATATCCTAATTTATAAATTTGCTACATATGGATCAAATTGGGGACATAATTATTCACCTGATATCCATGACTTCCAGTAATATCATAGACTATTTAAACATCAAGAAAGCATGTAGAAAGTAGCACATGTATTACTTTTGTAGACATACATTTGACATCTGCTACAACTTGTATGGGGAAGTGCTTAGAAAAAAATGCTACCTCTCAACAATTAAAAATATAAAATTTGTTCTACTGAGAGCATGGTCTAGTTTCTCCTGAATCTAATTATGGGGGTTGGGGAGTGTTACAGCAAGTTGTTTTTTAAATCAGAAGTGTGTGTTTGTCCACATTTTTTAAGTTGTGTTATGACGCACCCACCTATAGCTTGCACAAACTAGGTCATTGCCAAAAGCAAAGCTTTGAAATCCTTCCGGTATTTGCATAAATCAGTCTCAGAACATGTTAGTGGCACGGAGTCTCTTCATAACTGACAGACAACTAAAACTACCTTTCTGAACTTTCCTTTGTGTGTCAAATCTGTTAGCAAGGATAGAATGTCACTGAGGTCTAGATCTTATACTTCTGTCTCCACAAAGAGAACTCCAACCAAGAAGACAGGTTTTCAGAAGCGCATCCACTCATCTTGAAAACACTGAGACTGAAGTAAGAGCTTTACTCCTGTAAGAACTGACTTTTTACTTAGTTAAAAATAAATAAGTTTTTGCTGGTGTGGAGGCCGAAGCTACATGTTCCAGTGATATTTCTGCCTCCACCCTGTATGCCTTCCCAGCTTGCTCATAGGACTAGATGGTAGAGAATAAACACATGGCACTATTTGCCAATGACTTGAAAGAATAGACAATGGCCAGAACAGGTTGAGAAATTACCTATGGGCATAATTTAAGCACAGTCTTTATTAATTAGAAGTGGTTTAATCAGCAGCACCTGGAATAACAGCTCAGGATGAGAGTTTTCATGTATCATTGTCTTTCTCTACACGCTATGACTCTCCTTCCCTGGTCTGGAGAGACCCACTTTTAAGACTCTCGTGTTCTGACATGATTAGTGGAGACTTCTTCATTCTCAACATAACACTGGTTTCCAAGAGAAGAAGTACAGTCATGAAAGAAAGGTGGAATGCCTCATTCGGTACTACAGTCAACTCTACTGTCCCACTGTCCTAGCTTGGGGTTATACATTGAATGAGGTTGGGAGGATGAGCAAGGGACCCAGTGTTCCTATCTCCAGTAGGAACCGATGAAACTCAGAATCTACCATCTACTCCTCAAAAGCCCTCTATGAGGAACACAGCGACTTAAGCCTGTGACAGCTAAAACATGATGTATCTTTAAAAGACTAGTTTTGCCTTGATTGATTTTGTTTTCATAATGGAAATTTATTTTTAAGTTAGCTC